TGGACCAGGCAAGTTCGAGCAAGGGTGAGGGGGATGGACCCCAGTCAAAGTCGAGGCAAGTGGGGATGGACCCAGCAAAGTCGAGCAGTGGGGGATGGGACCCACAAAGTCGAGCAAGTGGGGGATGGAACCAGCAAGTCGAGGCAAGTGGGGGATGGGACCCAGCAAGTGCCGAGCAAGTTGGGGACTGGGACCCCAGCAAGTCGAGAAGTGGGGGATGGACCCAGCAAGTCGAGAAGGGGGGTTATGACCCAGCAAGTACGTCGAGCAAGGTGGGGGATCGACCTCAGCAAGCGAAGCAAAGTGGGGGAATCGAGCCGCAGACAAGTCGAGCAAGTGGGGACTCGACCTAGCAAGTCGGAGCAAGTGGGGGATTCGATCCAGCAGTCGAGCAAGGTGGGGGAATCGACGCAGGAAGTCGAGCAAGTTGGGGGAATCGACCAGCAAGTCCGATAAGTGGAGGACGACCTAGCAAGTGGATCAATGGGTGGATCGACCCAGCAATGTCGAGTCAGTAGTGGGATCGACCCAGCAATTCGATCAAGTGTGGATCGCGACGCCAGCAATTTGGCCGATCAAAGCTGTGGAATCGACCAGCAAGTCGATGCAAGTGGTGAATGCGGGACCGATAGTCTGAGTGCAGCTCTCGGAATGACCTAGCCAGCCGAATCGTTGTACACGGTCAAAACAAAATTAACGTAATGTGTTTGCCGCGCCAGGCCATTTCCTGCACAGTGCGGAAGGGCATTGTCACGTGAATAGCGGTATGTAAGTTAGCGTCGAAAAATCGCTTGGCGGGATTCGATTAACAATGATAATCTTGCGTGCTGGATGCTCATTGTCCATCCATGCGGTTGTGCTCGCAAGCCCTCTGTCGAGATGGAGTTGTTCTCTCGGCAAGGACAATCAGGGCCAGAAGCGCCACGCGAAATAATATGAAAATTAATTGTTCAAGCAGATCAGATGTGGCGAAATTACTAATCTTTCTGACTTCAAGGGAGTGAAATGAGGGAATGACTTCGATGGACAGACCGGCATTCTAAGCAAGCGTTTATGTGTAGAACGGCGGTGAGGTAGAAGTTCACTAGAGGCAGATCGTATATGTAAAAAATGAAATTGTAGAAGTTCCAGGGATAGGTCATGAATCCCCCAATCTTGGAGTATTAGGAGGGAAGAAGATGATCCATAAGGGTGTCAAATCTGTTATTTGTTAATAACAGCAGCTATGAATGCGTGTCCAGCCAGTACCCACAAAGCTAAAAAGGGATACTGTTTTATTTAATTGGCCTGAATTGTTTTGCAGAGGCTAAAATTAATGTCTTGAGACGTAGCACGCTTTTAAACCGGCGGCGGGTCCTGGCGTGCCAACGCGCTAAACGAGAGAGCCACACGGGGCGGGTGGGTTACGGCAAACGACAGTTAGAAGAAGTCGGGGGGCGAGGTTGGTTTTCGTAAATTTCACTTTACGACGCTCCTATTCGTTCGATTTGCATGATTGTCACGGCGTTGGGTTTCAGGAAGCTAATGTTGCGCTCTGCGCTACAGAGGCCATGATTTTTAAATTTGTTCTCTGAGGAAGTTTCTGAACTAATTTCCAGATTCGGTTTTTTTGTAAGAAGTTTTGTTAAGTTTGGAAATGGTCACATGTAGCGTGAAATTCTATTTTAAAAGGCGTCAAGTGCGTTTTACAGATCGAAAATAGGACCATTGGTTCAGACGTTATCGGTAAAGTAAATTTTACTTTTTTCGGGTGCTGCCACGTGGTGGCTACAAATTGTACTAGTGTCGGGACATTTAGCCTTAAGAAGCCGCGGGGATTACCGACCAGAGCAGCCAGTAAGATTGGCAGATTGGGCTTTCCGCTTTTTGGGCTGGAAAACGGCTATCTCTCGCGTGGCAAAAATTGGTTTTACGGAGCACCGCTCAATGTGATGATATCCAACAAAACATGTGCGATTGTAGGCGGGTTTTCTGATTATGACGAAATTTTCGAAAAACATCCTTAATGACGTTGATAGTGAGTTTGATATTTATTTTTTTTATTTACACATGATTTTTTGTTAATTCCTTTACATTTACTTGGAGAAGTGGGTAAATTTGGTTTTTTAGAACTCAAATACAGAATGTGTTGTAAATGTCGTCCTCATTTGTCGTGCACAATATGAGTATATAATATATCACATTGGTGCAGTAAATTTGGTTTTACATTTATTTAGTAAAAAAAAACAGTAAAAACTGTATGTGACGTATGAGGGGGAAGATTAACTGCGCACGTTTTCTTGAGTTCCTGAATCCCATCCCGTCATTTCAACTACAAGTAGTTGAAAGATGAGTAAAAGTTAAAAATAAATAAATAAAAATAAATGATAAAAAATAGCTATGTCAGCAAGATTTGAAAAAAATAGTCATTTTTGTTTCCGAGTTATAGAAAACTTATTTGCATGGGTAAAGGAATTGCAGTATGATTTTTCTGCATTGCTAACAAAATAGCAACTCACCCTTACCTCTTCTCTTACCATTACAAGCAAAAGGAGAGTTCAACAAAAGCATAGTGAAGCTACCTTTACGTCTAGAAGCAAAACAAGGGGCCATCTCAGCACTTGTTCAATGAATCAGGGAATCTGGACAAGAACCTGATCGAGACTACAGTTTCACTGCTAGCATTTGCCGTTAAACCACAGGAAATAAGCATGCGCGGATATTTGAGGAGAAATGAGAGTAAAACTGGGAAAGTGGGGAAATTATTTTGTCCCTTAAAGTCTTCCTACCATTTGGTATGGTCATAAAAATAGTCATAACTAATTTTTAAATATGGAGATATAACTTATAATTACAAAAAGTATAAAGATTTATATAAATATTATAATTAATTACAATGTTCACAATGAAAAAATAAAACAATAATAAGAATAATGATAAATTTATTCAACCTGCGAGTGGGTATAACCCTGTGGCAGCTCTTTATATAAATATATAACATGCATATTATACAGTAATATTAATATTAATAATGGGGCAATAATAACTACAGTAAGAACTATAAGACAGACATTAATAGCAAAATAATAATAAAATAAAAACTGATTGATTCATATAACATTAAATTACTTTAAGAAAAAGGAACACTGCACTGCTCTGTACTGCACGTCACGTCACGTCCTGTCACTTCACTTCCCTTCCCTTCACTTCACTTCCCTTCCCTTCACTTCACTTCACTTCACTACTCCTAGATCAGTTCCTTCATTATTTCTCTACTCTACACGCTACGACACATCACTTCACATATATCACTTATGCTTCGCTCAGTAACCTAATATTCTTAATAATAATGCATTTCATAGGGTCACTGTCTAAAAGAAATCTTCTGATACAATGATTTTAATGCAAATTCAAATTTACCGCTTGGAATGTTGAATTTTTCTTATTAGGCGGAATTGATCGGATGTACATCCATATAACGGTGTAATGTTTGTACGTAGCATCTGACAACCTTGGCAGCCGGTCGCTAGAACTCTCCTCCAGTTTTACATTCTTGCCTATTTGGGATGAGTCGCGTCTCGGTCAATTTGTGCTGACGTTTCGGCCAACTTGGTATGGCCTTCTTTAGAGGCCAGAACAAGATGGCACGGGAGCAGTATAGCAAGGGTCAAGGGAGCAGTATAGCTCCGAAGAAGGCCACAGCAAGATGGCCGAAACGTCAGTTCAATTAACCTAGAAGTATAGATCTGAAGAAGGCCACAAGATGGCCGAAACGTCAGCACAATTAACCAAGAGCAGTATAGTTCTGAAGAAGGCCACAGCAAGATGGCCGAAACGTCATTTCAATTAACCTAGAAGTATAGATCTGAAGAAGGCCACAGCAAGATGGCCGAAACGTCAGCACAATTCACCGAGACGTGGCTCATCCCGGATAGCCAAGTACAAGTTGTATGTATTGACTCCGTCCGCGGAAGCCTACGAACGCATCTCTTCCAGTTTTGGTGCTTTGATTTGCAGGTGGGGGCTGCTCTACAAGCTAGGGCTGGCCAACGAGCGTCGAGGTCCATTAGCCGCAACTTCCAAGACGAGGAGAAACGATGCCGTGATAAGAGCGGCATCTCAAAAGGTAAGTAACCGTTCATTCATTACGTAAAACGGCCACTCTCTGTCTAAAGTAGTAAAGTAAATCTTTCCTAAGGCGATGTTCTCAATGGGCACAAACAGCGAAACATTAACCATGGAAAGATAAAGAACAAAAAATCAACTACAAAATATCTCATGTTTAATTATCACAAAAACTACGAGACTCTTATTAGAGTGTGTGTTTTAAATAGGAGATGCGATGCTGACGCGGTAGGAGTCGGACGTAAAGACGAGTGTTACTAGTCAATCATATTTTTTCTAATGAGTAGGCAAATGTTTAATTAGAGAGGAAAGATAATTTAGTGTGTAGGAGACGTGGGTACATAAGAGTGGAACAAATTCAACGAAAATGGAATGGAAATGGAGGCTGAACAACGTTCAAAAATTCAGAGGTTTGGTTCTACGAAAGGAAAGTAACCATCCGGGGAACATTTTTTTATTCACCATTGTAGGAAAACCAAGTCTTGTATCAATTTATTTGTTTTGGAAGGTATTGAACGCATACATGTTTACCACACACTAATTTTGCGCAGAGATACTGGAGACTTGTAATAAAATATTATTACATACCATAAAAAATACTGTTTCCTTGGTGGCAGCAGATATATTGTGCTAATCCATAATTAGCGCAGTAGCTAGCACGCTAGCTAGTGACGAAAATACTGCCACGAACCCAAGAACTTCCTCGTTAGAGGCATTGTAGTGACATCGGTAAATGCCCTGAGTCACCGGTTGCCGGTTTATCGCCCTTGAAAACATCCGAAACGTATGTTCTCAATTGTCAGAAGTATTCGCAGGCTCACTTGTCAGAATGTTTTTCATCAAATTGGAGGCCAATTGTTAACAACCATCTTCTGTTACTGTGTCTTTTGTTACAGAGCAGGTGTTGCGCTCCGGGTGCAGGAAACCTTCCGACCCCGCATTGGAAGGAAGGGTAATGGTAAGTGACGAATTTCCTCGGGGCCGGCCCTAGCGAGCTTGGTTGCAAGTTCGTAAAACCACTACCTTTTTTTTAATTGTTTAAAATTTATTTTCATTCGCATCGATATCTATGGTCATTGGCGACTGTAGGGAAAGACATTACATACCATTTTCTTTAGTTATAATAAAAACAATACTTAAACAAAAAAACAACAGAAAAATGTACATGACAGAACGCAACCATATAAAAATGGTAAATGCAAAATTGCATTGCTGAAATAGGTTTTAAAGAATTATATTTCATTTAAGATGTTACTTAATTTATAGAATTGTGGTACGTTTTCCTATTAATCTTTAGATGAAAGGATAAGTTCTTCCTCTTTCTCATTTTTTTACTGTTATGGATTAACACAAGTATATAGAAATAGGAGGAATAACTTCATATAAATATAAATACGAACAAATAACAACAATGGGGGAGAAAGAGAAACAAGGAAGTGAAAACAGCAAAGAGAGTTCCAAATCCTGCATAGGGACGCTATAAATAAATTATCATACGTAAATATTTCGTCACCGAACACTTGTACAAACGGACTATCAGACTCATATACATTTTTTATCATGACGGGGCACTATTGCTACATCCTTTGACCTACTGTAGGTTAAATTTTCAAATAGTAATTTTAGCAGAATAAATAACAAAAGGGTACCAGGAGCAGGCATCAGTCAGAGTACATGCGTCTGTTGTGCTGAAATAGAGTGCATTGGCATCACTAAGGGTGAATGTTGAAAACGGTATTACGAGATACATTGGAATCACCAGTTTTATTCCACTCTAATTCCCAAACTCATTCACTGAAATGAATAGGTATTGAATTATCATTTCTCCAATAGCATTTTAGTTTGACAAACGATTTCTTTAAAGCAAAATTGTCTTTGTTGTTGCACCATACACCAGACGCTGGATACAAGCCGTTTACAACAATTTCGGAAACGAGCAAAAGAATACAGGCATTTCGTTCAGCATACAATGAGTGTGAAAATGGGATAAAATATAAGATGATATAGTATTATTTGCAAACAGGAGAACGTCGAACATACTGAAAATATACGGCTGACGTTGTGTTTTAGGTTTTAAGTGGGAGGGTTCCTTTTGACGTTCCAATTACTCTTTCTCTCTTTTTCTTGCCTTCTATTTTTTGCATTCGGTGCGAGGCTCCATATTATTGCCCATCTGATTTATATTTTATGTGAAACTAAACGCAGGAAGCAGTACAGATGATCTACTTTTCCAGAGATGGATATTTTTCATAATGAGCTCCTGTAATAATGAGAGATTTATCTTTGAACAATAAATGCAACTTAATTGCATCAATAATAAAAATAATATTAATAATAATAATAATAATAATAATGAGCACACATTCATTCACCATAGATAAATATAAACCTGAAAAAAAGAACATTTTTGTAGTAGTTATTTATGATACGACAGGTAAAAATGACGGTTTATTTTGCGCATAGGAAAGGTTGCGACACGAGGATGCAGACCGAACAGCGCAATTCTACTAGCAAAATAAAATCCATTTTACCATATGAGTCATTTGCTAATATTTTTAGACAGTTTTACTGACATTCAGTTTATTGTTATTGAGTTGTACAATCACTTACAATGGTACATTTAGGCCAGAAGTAACTGATGCAGTCAGACGAAAGTATTTTGTTTTCTTTGTTGCACTCATAGGTTTATGTGAACACATGAGAATCGTCTTATTTTTAGCTCTAGTGCTAGAACTTTGACTCGCTCTGAAGGTCCTGGTGGCTGACTAAAAAAATTGCTAGTGGCTGATTAAAAAAATATTTCTTGCGACTTAGAAAAATATCCCATATGAACTTTAAATAACGGACTTTAAAAAACGGACTTTAAATAACGGACTTTATAACGGGACTTTAAAATACGGACTTTAAATAACCGACTTAAATAACCGACTTTAAATACCGATTTAATAACGCGACTTTAAATAACCGACCTTTGAAATAACCGACTTAAATAACCGACTTTAAGTAACGGATTAAAATAACACTTAAAATAACGGACTTAAAATAAACGGAACTTAAAAACAACGGACTTAAAACCAACGGACTTAAACACGGACTTAACACAACGGACTTAAAACAACGGACTTAAAACAACGGACTTAAAACAACGGACGCTTAAACAACGGACTTAAAACAACGATTAAAACAACGGACTTAAAAAAACGGACTTAAACAACGGACTTAAACAACGGACTAAAACTACGGACTTTAAGATACAACGGACTGTAAAAACGGACTTAAATAACGGACTTTAAAAATACGGACTTTAAATCACCGATCTTAAATAACCGACTTTAAAATACCGACTTTAAAATAACGACTTTAAATACGGACTTTAAATAACCGACTTATAAGGAACTATAAAAACGTCCTTAAAATAACCGACTTTAAAATAACGACCTTAAATAACGACTTTAAAATAACGGACTTTAAAATAACGGACTTAATAATAACGGACTTATAAATAACGGACTTAAATAACGACTTTTAAATAACGCGACTATATACGTTTAAATAACGACTTTAAATAACGGAACTTTAAATAACGGACTAAATACGTTAATACGAATTAATAAACCCGACTTTAAATTAACCGACTTAAAAACACTAAACGACTTTAAATAACCGACTTTAAATAACGCTTATACGACTTTAAATAACCGACTTTAAATAACCCAAAGACTTTAAATAACCTAATCCGACTTTAAATACACTTTAAAACACGTTAAAATAACCGACTTTAAATAACGACTTTATGCTTTAAAGATAAACGACTTCAAAATAACGACTTAAATAACGCGAGCTTAAATAACGGACTTTATAATAAACGGACTTAAAATAGACGCTTAAGAAAAGACTAAAACCGCGACTTAAAAACCGACTTTAAATACTTAAAACCGACTTTAAATAACCACTTAAAAAACCGACTTAAATAACCACTTTTAAATACCGACTTTAAATAACCGACTTAAATAAACCGACATAACGACTTAAAATAACCGACTTTTAAATAACCGACTTTAAATAACCGACTTTAAATAACGACCTTTACACTTTAATCCGACTTTAATAACCGACTTTTAAATAACCGATAATACGACTTTAATAACTCGATCTAAATAACCGACTCTAAATATGACTCTAAATGACGAACTTAATGACGCACTATAAATGAAACAGAACTATAAATGACGAACTATAAATGACGACTTGTAAGATGAACGAACTTTAAATGACGAAGCTTTAAATGACGAAACTTTAAATGACGACTTTAAATTGCCGAACAATAAATGAACGAACTTTAAATGACGAGCTTTAAAACTGAACGAACTATAAATGACGAACTTAAATGACGAACTTTAAATGACGAAACTTTAAATGACGAGACTTTTTTAAAAGACGAACTTTAAATGAAACGAAATTTCAATGACGAACTTTAAATGACAAACTTTAATGACAAACTTTAAACTGACGAACTTTAAATGACGAACTTTTAACTGACGAACTTTAAATGACAATTTAATGACACACTTAAATGACAAACTTTAAATGACCAAACTTTAAATGACAAACTTTAAATGGACAAACTTTAAATGACAAACTTTAAATGACAAACTTTAAATGACAAACTTTAAATGACAAACTTTAAATGACAAACTTTAAATATGACAAACTTTAAAATGCAAACTTTCATGGACAACTTAATGACAAACTTTAAATGGACGAACTTTAAATGACGAACTTTAAATGAACGAACTTGTAAAATGAAAAACTTTAATGAAAACTTTAAATGAAAACTTTTAAAATGAAAACTTTAAATGACGAACTTAAAATGACGAACCTGTTTAAATGACGACACTTTTAATGACGAAAACTTAAATGACGAATTTAAATGACCGAACTACAAATAAGGGACTTCAAATCAACGGCCTTTTAAATAACGCGGACTTTAATAACGGGACTTTTAATAAAACGGACTTTAAATACCGGACTTTAAAATAATACGGCTTCGCGTGCGGGTGGAGGCGCGCTTCGGTCGGGCGGGGCGGTCGGAACGAGGGGACTTCAATTACTAGACGCTGGAATAAGAAGGCGG